GATTCTGCCGTCTCATTTTGTGTGTACTCATTTACGTGTTCCTGCGGAACTACGTACATAGGCCGCACGGTCAGGCGTTTGTCCGAACGAATCCGTAAACACCACACCGCATGGCTAAACACAGGAACGATTAAGTCACTCACTAGTGCAGTGGTTTCACACCTAATTGAAACAAATCACACTGGATGTGACCGAGGCGTTCCGTCCCCTGTATCGGGTTCGTGTTCGATTATCAAGGCAGGTTCGCTGTCGTATGCTAGCCACAGCGGGAGCGGTAGGAATTCGGCTGCACCACCCCCNCCCCCTTTGTGTGCCCAAAACAATTTGTGCAGGCGCTTAAGCTCCCCTGGCCCACCCCCAACGATCGGATGACCTAACAATTATGCGATCATTGAGAATTCCATATCCGGTCCCAAGATGAACTTAGCCCCAGACAACCCATGAGGTTATTTTCCCTTTCCCGAAACATTTGTTTGCGTTTTTATGATTGAATACTGATTTATATGTAAACAGCGTAATATTTATTGTGAGGTATTTGGCATGACTACGAATCACTGGAAACGAGCTGTTCGCCACTCCTTGTTCTATTTGAAAATGTGCTCTGTGGGACCGTTTAGACAGTTTGATATAAATTATGATTTTATATAAGTTGTAATTGTGAAAACACAGCAATGTCGGTACAGGTGAAAATAAGCCGACGTTTCGGTTATCGTGGATAACCTTTATCAGGGTGATTTTACAATCGCATTGTGATGTATTAGCCCGCAGAAGAATCACCGCAAACAAGCTTGTTCGCTACTCTATGTTTTCTTACAATGTGTGAGGATGGTATATTCGGACAATTGAGTAACCTAAGCCCCGGAACCTGAAGTGGTTAACCACACATAAGGCCCCGATAGGCTATGTGTGTTATTGAACCAGACGACAGCAGAGCTGCCTACCACCAAAGTCGCGGTGGCGGTGGTGGGGCTCGAACCTCGGATCACAGGGTCCAAAGCACGCCAGTGACAGCGACTAAACCACTGCACCACCACCACCATGCCCGTGTGATGTCATCATCATCGTACAGGGAAATACAGTAAAGCGAACTTCACTGACCGCTGGTTGAAAACTCACCCTATTGCGTGCATCATGCCTATTTTTATTATACCTTACATGACACGTGTTTGAATAATCCCTCCGAAGTTTCAAATAATTTATTTTATTCTTCTACGTGTGATCTATGGCACACAGAGATAATCAAACTTCGCTACAGGTTGATTCACGTATAGCATTGAGAAAATCCTTGAACAAACCACGCACATGGCCGTTACATTCGCGTAAGAAATCACCAACAACGCATGTCGCTTTCAGCTTGCGATGGCTCGAATCCGGGCGTGAACTTCACCCGGTGATTCCGGGGTGACAAGTCTGTTCTAGAACGGAAATTAGGGTGACACATTTTTAGCTTGGTCATCGAAGTTTAATCGCAAAACTAAAAGTAGTTCATTTGGGACTGCGTCATATTAGATCGATATTAGTTTATTTCCTGTGTGAAAATAATCTACCTTCTGGTTTTCCCACCCATGTTTCCCAAACTGTAAGACCTCGTTTTATATCCACAATATGTTTAAAGCTTATATATCACAGAACCCCAGTAACGTGAATCACAAGAAAATTTATTCCTCGGTCCCAATACAAAAATCCTCCCTCAAATCACATACCCGTGTGCACAATAGACCCGAGCTTTGGACTCATGTAAGATCTCTTCAGCTGAACGGTGCAGGACGCTGTTCTATAACGCCATTGTTTCCGCTTGATGCGGCTTCCTCGAGTACGGTTCTATTTGGGTTTATTGAAGGCGGTAACTAATACGTAATATTAGCACGTCTCAATTTCATTCCTAGTTCTTTGTTCTGTATTTCAATTGCGTCATTTGAACACAAATTTCTGACGTAAAAAATTTGATTTTGCGAATGTTTCATTCAATTTAAATTTTATGCCCTTCCAATAGTTTTGCTGCGGCTGCTACCTGGATAAAACCGCACCTGGAAGGTTGGACTCTTAAACAACTATCCTCCGCCAATCGTCTCTACTTATTAGACTACGGAATCATGCGGGGTTTGAGTTGTAAGCGGGGTCGTGCTTTGTGTGCCCCGTTGGTGCTGCTATTGCACACAGAAAAGCGTCAGTTGAAACCGATTGCCATTCAGTTACGACATGAACCGGATGATACCAGTCCCGTGAGTCACATTGTTTGATGATGTTTAGAAACACACTGTGTTCTTGTTGTATATATATATATATATATTCACATACTACTTATTATGAAATATATATAATTCATCTGTCAAAATACGGGTTACTTCAATTCCTAAGGTTTTCTTCAGTAAATTTGCTCAGATGTTACTTCGTTTGCAAACCGATCGATAGGACATCATTACACTTACCGAAACTTGAATGAGAACCGACAGACTTTCGATCGTCCTACGAGTGTGCTCTATTATACCAGAAAACTACAATGTAAGATAGGTGATTATCGTGCTGCGACTTCTGACTCACTGTCGCAACACGATATCGGCTTGATCGGTGTGGTGCACGGTTCTTCCTCGTCCTACACAGACTTATCCAATGCGATGCTGCTGCAAACCACCTGCCACATCCGGTAGTGGAAGGAAGTTTGGGGATTTCCTCATTATGGGCGACTTCAATCTGGCTAAATTAGTGATATGCCTGCAGCAATTTGGACAGAAATCCACTCGGTTTGTTGTCCCGTACCCACGTTTTGTGAAGGAACCCATTGCACGTTGTTATTCTTGAACTAGTTGTTAGCAAATAAGAAATTGATAATAGCAACTTTTTCTACTACAACTCCATTAGCGACTGATGTTCGTGCTGTATTGTTTAATTCCATTCGCTGTGCATCCTTACCGCAAATTTATACCTCTAACTCTTGCACCAAACTTGAAATTTGGGCGAATGACCTGCAATCGGTTTTCCCCAACGAACACTGTGATCCCCTAGTATGATGACACGAATCTCCGTATCACCTCGCAGAAATGGTGAAGGTCATGTCAAAGATCAAACACAAAACTGGTCAAAAGCCGCTGATTCACAAAGGAAGAGATTTCTCAAAGGAATATCTCACGGAGAATGCAATAAACGATTTCCTTGTAACAAGACATGGACTATACTTGCTGTCTACTGCGAAACCACTGCACCAAGTTGGCGCGGGAAGATAAGTTGATTTATCGAAAAAATGTTGATTCATAGGTTTATACTCAATCCAAAGCTACTGTAGAAACATTAAAATGCCTTCAGAAAAGTCTAGTCTGGCGTTCCAGCGTGTCTCAGCCATAGGAAGCAGATGAAATGTTGAAAAGTCAAGACACTCAAGTATTCACTGTATCTGCCAACACCGGGCTATAATTGCCTCTGTTACTCGAGGACATATCACATCCAACAGTAACCGCTATTGATTTTTCTGCCAGAAATCATAGCGTCGAAACTACTGTGTTTAATGAGGAATTCATCTCCAGAAGTAGATAACATCCATCCACAAACGGTTATCATCCCTGACAAGTATCATAACTAAGCCATTCCATTCCAACGTATGTTCACCAGTAATGTGCTTTCACAAATATGGAAACAAGGAATAATTTTGCCTATGTGCAAAAACGGCTGTCGTGGTTGCCCGATTAACTACTGTCCTGTCACTCTCCTTCTCGTATTATCCAAAGTCACAAAATCNATCCGTTTTTACAGACGATGTGTTGGGTCCCTTGGAAAAATGCGATATCTTATTCCCATGGCAACATGGATTTAGATGCAAGCGACTGTGCCACCAACTTGCTTCTGGCCCGAGAAGAAAGCAGTTGATCATAGCGATGTAGTCGACGTACTTTCTGCACCTCGACTGTTCCAGGGCATTTGGAACCTCTCCACGTTGAGTGCATCATCCATGCAACGCGATCTGAACACTTGGGAACGTACACAAAGAATGGCTACCAAAGTGGTCGAGGGACTACATTCCAAGACCCATGTAGGACTGTCATCTTTCGAGCTATACTCCACTCAGTATCGTCGAACTTGAGGAAACTTGATTTTGGCGTATCAAATATTACAGAACCCTGACCATTCATGGCGATTACTGTTCACGTTATCGCACGAAATCCAATTAAGAAGAAATCCATTTAAGTTAGTGCTGCGTAAATGTTGACTAGAGTAACGAAGTTATTCCTTTCGCCCTTATAGTGTGTAGTATTTGGAATTCTCTATCGGCTCATGGTGTTTGTCCTCTTTCGAGCAGAAACTGGATGAACTATTCTCATGTCTTCAATTTCGGCACTCATAGTAGCACATGAAATAATGAAACTTTCTTCATTCTTCGTTTCTACTCGATCAATCGACTCAGTTATGCCGAAAACCCTGTGCGAAAAGAAAAGCAACAGTTTGTTAAAATTTCTCATAATGAAACTTTGACTTTGACGTGCGACCAATTTTGCCAGAGAAATTACACGGGACGCCGTATCAATGGTTAATAATACTGATTACATACATATTATTATATATATTATATATATTCCGATGATTTGCTCCCATTGTCATCATCATCATCGTACAGCGAAATACAGTGAGGCGAACTTCACTGATCGCTGCCAAATTCGCAAGGTTAGTGGTAAAATTTAAGGTGGAAAGGGACTGGGCCTATCTTGAGGGAGGGGGAAGAAGGTGAATCTCAGCACATAGAGTACGCAATCGAACTCTGCATACGTACCGTTTCAAGCATTCTGACCTCATTGTTCGAATCTTGATACTGGAAAAGCCATGCTGTCGTCATTTCTACTGCTACTGGACCCACTCAATGTTTTACCAAGTTTTGGATTGACATAAAGTTCCTATAATTTGCCTATTCCAACATTTTTTTCATACCGCAATGTAGCTTTCATGAAAGAAATTTCTATTTTTCGACATTCTCTTCACGGTGAGTAAAAAAGCTCGTTTTTTCATTCAAGGAAATCTGACTTGTAGCACAAAATGTTGTTGTCAAGATATGCTGGCGATTAATCGAACAACGGGCAAAAACGACCAGTTGATCGTTTTAAGGGTGATGAACATTCCAGGTTTTTCCGGTGTTTGATCTTGTTCACGAATTCGCTGCACACTTCTGATTCACACAGAAAGAGTAATTTTTATTCCGTTTATCTTTCACAATTTCATCTACTTGCATCCTTTCTGTCACCTGTTTGTAACAGATCTTTCTTCCCACGGACCCGGTTCATGTTTGGCTTCAAGCTAAGCTGTGGGTCAATCTATCGGACGCCTGCCATCACATGGTCGTGGGACGCTTGCTTACACACATGATTTTAGAATCAGTGTATGTCTCTTTGCGACGTAATTTGGCTCAATCACATCCGATCTATCAACTACTAGCTCCGCATTTTCGCAGTATTCTTCCTGTCACACAGTGAGTATATTTTTAACCGTTGCATCTTTCCATGTCTCTCTATCCAGACCATAAAGCTGGGCTAAGTATCTCAGCCGTGTGTGTGTGTGTTCGTTCCAAGGCGATGGTAGTATGCAACTCCCTGCTCTTTCGCCTCACGCGCGCTCTCTCTCAAATAATTTTTCACAAACTATCTGTCAAGATCACTTTCCACATTCTGGCATGTTCACCGTTTCCTCCCAGCCTCGTCATACGCCACTGACTAATCATCTGCAGTGCATATTCCTTGAGTTTTTCATAATGGCTGAGGCGTATCCTTGAGCTGACGTATGCGGCTGAAAACCCTCCGGACTTTGGAAACTGTTGAAACCATAATCGAAGAATGAAGGATGATTTAAAATTCCCGACAAATTTAGATTATTCCAACAATAGAAGACAACTTTGGCAACTTTAAGAAGCTCAAAGGAGATTGACGGTTATTTCTTACTTATTACCAAGCAAAGCCTAACCAGCTGTTACCTCTGTTGTCACCGTGCTCACTGCCACGCCTATCCTAAGGCAACACTGCATTATCTGCTCTTTTAAGTTTCTATAGTTTCCGTTACCGGTGTTCATAACCGAGAAGCAGGCCCCTATAGTTTTTGGTATCCGCCTCTTCAACCTGGCGTATTGGTGATCTTTTAGTTTTTTTTCTGTTCGATTTCAAGAAACAAAAATCACTTACAGAACCCTTTTGTCCCTTAAATTATCCTCCGAGTGTTCTCAATTTACAATTTTTTGGACTTAATTGACCGGAAGTTGTTAGATATGTTGAGAGAATAAATAAGTCAGTGTGATATACATACATATATACTGGGTATCCGTTTAAGTTTAAGAAACTCCTGTCTACTCATAATGAAATGCTTGTGTACTTGCAATTTTACGTCAGAAGCTAGATATTTGGTGATTTATGACCAATAGAATTACTACCATCAAATGTGAGTGGAAGGCAACGAGCCTTCAGCAGGAATTAGTGTTTAATGCAGCCTGGCGAGAAAGTTCAGGAAAATTGGATGTAACCTGTTTGGGCTTTTCCGGACAAAAAAAGCATACATCATGCGTTTCCTACTTTCAGTCTTTCAGAATGTTGTTACAGTACACCCTTATTCGAATTGTCTTCAATATCAGTGCTTGATTTTTGTGTAACGAACAATCAGAGGCGGGAAACCGGTCGAGAAGGGCCAAACTAAACTCTTAGGCGTGTACTAAGGAACTGTACAAGGCACCAGCTGCCTACCATCAACCAATCAGTTTCTCCCCTCATCATGTTTGATTGTTGCGCAATAAACTTAGTCTGTTCGTGCTTTGTGCGCTGGTCCACCTTAAACACTCGCACAATCCGTGTATTCTAGCAAACTCAAAGAGTGGATGTTCGAAAATGGTTGGATCGCACGAAGCATACAGCTCACACACAAAGGAATCAAGCAACTACTGAAACGGGCGTTCAAACAGTGGCGATTTGACACTCAAGCCAATTTGTACCGGGAACTGGAGTCGCGCGGAGTGAGTTTTCCATTTCTGCCAACTTGGTCTGATTCTAATCTATGCTCTCATCTTTGCGTGGGGCACACCTGTTTAGTTTGGCCTCGAGTGGGACCTCTGTCTCTCATTTTTCATTTTAAAATCATCAGACAAGGTGGATTTTTGTCGTGGTGACTGTCGTTTATTTTCGATTTACCCTTTTTTGTGTAAACGTTTTACTCCCCACTCCGTTCATATTATTTATAATTTTAGTTTATTATCAGGTGCTTGGATATACATTCCTTCTGTCTGTGTTTCAGCCTATCCATCTAACCTGTCTTACGTGGGTTTCCACTGGAACAACCGAACTATTTTAATTATTCCCCATCCCCAAAATGTATTTTTTAAATACACACTTTTGTGTGTTGAACAGTCGTAAACTCTATATTTATGAGAACCTATTGTTCACTCGTAGGAACCGGAAAATCAAGCTCTTGAACATGAAATAGCAAACCACATGAGGCTTCAGTAGCATAGACGTGGTATCGTGCCAAATGACAGCGATAGAACCGGTGTGTTTATACTTGATATGTCTCGCCCTGTACTCTACTACAGTTTGTGTGAGTAAATGTATCTTCATAAGTGACTAACCGCAGTTTTGCAACGGAGGACGAATGGGCGGTGGCTATCAAACGGTACTGGTTTCCATCACGTTGCCCCGCAGCCTGTGTGTTGGAATCACCACTCTTTCTCCCGCCCACTCCCCCCCCCCCC